TATCACAGTGGATTTACTTAACGTCTAAACCAATGGTCCGGTTTTCGATTTGCAAACGGCATTTGACGCCTTTTTAAAATATAACATACGCTACGAAGCCTTTTTTAAAAAAAAATTAGCAAAAATTCGAATTTGAAATTAGTTCTCAAACTTCCGAGAACAAATTAAAAAATGTGGGCTTATAGTGCAATGGCGACATACTTCCTGAATTCAACGCCGTGATAATCATGCAAATCGGACGAATAGGAGCGTCGTAAAGTGAAATTTGGAAAACCACCTCACCCCCTTCCCCTTCAGTGCCATTGCGTCACTCCCCCCGATTGTTGTGGGCCCTCTTTCGGCGTGGCGGCACGTGCCAGGTCAGGCGGTTTGCGGCCAGCCCTGCGGAACAGGGCGGGACTTGCGGGATACGCAAGCCAGACAGTCGTTTTATGCTTTCGTCACTTAGCGTCTCAATCTATTTTTCCACAGATATCAAACTAGAGATGCTATCCTACTATTACAGACCGAGACAAACGGTCTGTAATATTATTACATAAGTATCTTTTTCACATATTTCCGTCTTCCTTCGAATTGTTTAAAATTGTTTGAGGCATTACTTAAATTGTCGTTTCCGGCACATCAGAAAGCATGTCGCCATAATTTTTTATTTTTTTTTCGGAAGTTCGAGAACTAATTTCAAATTTAAATTTTTGCTAAATTTTTGAAAAAAAAGCATTCCTAGCATAAATTATATTTTTAAAATGCGTCAAATACCGTTTACAGATTGAAAATCGGACCATTGGTTCAGACGTTATGAGTAAAGTTAATTTTACTTATATTGGTGCTGGCTATAAATGTGGTGGCTATAAATTGTACTAGTGTCAGTACATTTAACTTTTACATTACATTTACATTTAACATTTACTTAGAGACTGTTATGAAGAAGGTCTTCGAAAATAAATTATTGGAATTTCAAACCTATATTCGCTGACATATTTTTCTAGAAAAAGGCCTAGTTAAAATATCACTCTCTCAAAAATATATTTTTTCAACAGCCATTTTCTTAAAGGTTCAGGTTTTCTCAATCCATGAAGGAATCACAACATCAGCTAACACTCTTAATATAATGATAGTTTTCCCTGCAGTAATTTGTTTGCTCTGTTAAGATATCTTCCTCAGAGATCAGGAACGATAATGTATGTCTCCTTCAGAGGTTCTGCATATTTCATGCAGGCGTGGGAGATGTGACTGTGCCGTGGCATAATCACTCTTCCCACGCAGGCCCATCACAACAAGAGCAGTAGAACCGCTTTACTACGCGATCTGCCGCAACTGGAAGGACTCGAAATGTCATTTTGCATAAGTAGAGGCGATTTCATGCACAAAATATAATGTAGAAAACAAAGAACAGCGACAAGATATTTGATTTGTTTAATCAGTCCATTGTTCACTGTAACTCATTACTTGAAAAATTAGCTAGTGACCCTTCCCATGAGCACGTTTTCCTTTCTGTTTTTAACTTTTCATTTGTATTATATTCTTGCGTTTTATTCCTGAAAGTGTATGAATTTTTGTTTAATTTTTTTACATTATTTATTCATTTTTTCGCTATCTTAGAGCCGAGCCAGTGCTCATTTGCAGGAATAATTAGTTTATTGATATTGTTTTATATAATTAGTTTATTCAAAAATGTAATATATAATTAGTTTATTGAAAACAGCCAGATCGCGGCGCACTTTCTATATTTTTGGTGTTGTATTTATCCTTATGTATATTTTACTTTTTTTGTTTTGTTTGTGTTAATTATTCAACAATCAATTTATTATAATATATGTGGTTCTCTTGCTCTGTTCATTGTACTGTAGCACTGATGGAGAAATTATATATATCGAAACGTTGGCGTAACTAATTGTTTCTCTAAGCTCATTGACCGATCCTGAGAACCAATTCTGATTCATTTTGACATCTAATTGACATGAGACGAGGAAGTATTGTATTCGTGCGCCGGAATAGCGCGCAAATATTCGACACGATAACTTCTATTACCAGGCCCTGGTAAGAAAAAAGGGTATATATTCATTTGCTAAATATAGGGGAAAATCCTCCGACACGTGATGTTGCGTGTCCTTGAATTTGAAACCGATATTTTAATTTTGGTGGTATTTTACAAAGAGCCCCTTGCACATTTTCATAATTTTCACAAAAATGGTACTAAATTTCTTTATTAAATTTTGTTGTTGAATAGTGCAAATGTTTATAAGAAAGTTTCAAGTCTCATTTTCTTGACATTCCCTAATTTTTGAAAATGGAAAAAACTTTTTGCACTTTAAATTTGAGACAGATTTTTTTGTCGGATTTCATGTCTCAGACATTGTACAAAATTAGCACGTCAAAAAAGGTTATCTACAATTTTTTGCGTAACCAAGTAATTTTGACGTATTTTGCGATTGAAATTTACAAAAGATATCTGAAAATACACTTTAATGTTTTTCTTTAAATTTGCTTCACATATGTAATAAGAGACGATAAAAATATTGTGGTAGTCATATTTTGGGTATTGATTGGGGTTTTTGAAAATTAACAACATTTTTAACCACAAAATTAAAGATAGAGATATTTGCCTCAGACAAAATCTGTTGTATAAAATTAGCTCTTCAAAAAAGGTCATGCATAATTTTTTTTTTGAACAACGTGTACTTTTGCGTGATTTCTACTTTAAATTGATGAAATATAGTCAGGTTTCAGCCCAACTACAGACCATCTTCCATTTACAGCAAAAATGGCGCTTTTAGGAACAATTGATACGAAAATATGTACGCACAGTCGACAGCGCCCACAGCTGCATGAGCGCTTTGTTGTTAGCCCTCATCGACTGAGATGAGTTGATATAGACAAAAATGCGGTATAATATTATTATATAACCGTTGCTAAAGGGTAAGAAAGTAAGTATTGTTTTAGAACCATTAACTTACTAATATAAAT